GAGTACTGAATATTTCTAAATAGATGGGATTTTGACTGCTCACACCACAAAGAAATGATAGACATTTGAGGGAATGAATAGGCTAATTTTCTTGATTTGATCATCACACAATGTACATATGTTGACATATTATACTGTGAATGTGTACAATTATCACATGCCAATTAAAAATAAAACTTTAAAAATGAGCCAGGCATAGCGATACATACCTACAATCCCAGCATTCTAGAAGACTGAGGCAGGAGGACTGCAAGTTCAAGGCCAACTTGGGCAACTTGGGCAACTTGGCACTATCTTGTCTCAAAATACGAAACATAAAGGGCTGGGGCTGGAACTCAGTGTGAAGGCTGGAGGCTCAACCTTCAGGCCAGAAAAAAAGTTGCAAAGCACCTAAGGCCAGCTGAGCTGGCATCAGCCGTGCCTGGTTTTGGCCAGGGTGGACTGTGGACTCAAGTTTTGTAAGAACTGCTTTACGGCATTAGGGCTCCTTCCAGTTCATGCTGTGGGAGAACAGAGAGGCAGTGCTGTAGATACCCTTGTCCCTCTGCACTGGCAGGGGTTTGTGGTAGAAGGTGCCAGAGAACACAGCTCACGTCCATTAAGATTTCCTGAACACCAGCTGCCTAGGTATAGCAGATACAGACAGGAGAGACACGGTCCCAGCCCACCAAATGTTCACACACAATCACGTGGGGAGGAAAGTAGCTCCACAGAGATTTCAGCCTCGCAGTAAATGGCTTCTTTGCTCATTGTATGTATTAAATGTCATCCATGTGCCCGCATTTGGTGTCATCCTGGGAAAGCCAGATGAGCAAGTATGGCTCTGACCACAAATTTACTGTGCCCAGGAAGAGATGTTAAATAAACACTCCTCAGTCACTAGGGCAAAGGCACCAAGAGCTCATTCCCGTCCAGTGTGCAGGGCCAGGAGGGGAGGGACACTGGGGCTGTGCAGAGCCACATCTGCGAGGGTCTTGGAGGAAGAGAAAGGAGGCTGCAGGCAGAGAGACACTCTTGCCGACCACCCAAGGAGAGAGCAAGGAGGGTCCCCGCAGGCAGAAAGTGTGCGGCTTCGGGCAGGAAAGCAGGGACACTGGTTGGGCCTGGTATCCTGGGACCTTGTGGGCTGAACTGACCCTCTGGGCAGGGGGACAGGGGAGGGCTCAGGAAGTGGAGCAACGTGATTTGATTTGCGTTTAGAAATGCAAGTGGGCAGAACGGTGTCGGGGAGATGGGTTAGGCAGGGGCAAAACTGGGGACCAGGGGACCATGGAGGTGACCGCTAGAACTGTCTCCCGGGGAAGTAATGGTGCCCCATCAGTGTGCAGCAGGTGGGATGCAGTGGGATGGGCAGACTTGACATGACTGGTGACACGAGAGAGGAGCAGGACCAATGGCCTGTGGGTTTCCAGTCTGGGTGGACAAGCAGATGAGGGAGGAGATTCGGTGGAATAGACAGAGAGGACTGGAGGCAAGAACAGGAACATAAGCTTGGTGTTAGAGGTTGAAATGCTAAAGACGTCTGTCGAGCGGAGGGGTAAACACCCGGGATCCGGACCTGTGACTCTCAAGGGCAGCAGGTACTCACTGCAGACAGGGTGGCCTGAATCACCCAGATGATGGCTGAATCAGAGGGAGTCCATGCAAACGGGGTGCAATGAGACCAAGCAACTGAGGGACCCTCGAGAGTGATCTGAGAACCAGAGAATGGGGTAAGAAAATACGACAGGGAGAGAACTGAGCCGGAGAAAGTTCACTGGACTCCTTTCTGTTCTCCCACACTGTGAACTGCAAAGCCAGTTCCAGCACCCCAGAGCAGGTCTTACAAAACTGACGTCCACAACCCACCCTGGCTAAAAGCACAGACGCTGCAAATCTTTTACAAATTAGCAAAGATGCAGGCCACCAGGAGCACTGGATAGGCAAATGGGTCACTGAGGGCTGGTTGGTGCACCCAATAATCACAGCACTTGGGAGGCTGAGGCAACAGGATGACAGTAAATTTGAAACTAGACTGGGCGAGATCGAGCAACCCTGTCTCAGAAAATGAAACTAAGTCCAGCGTGGTGGGACACACCTGTAAGCCCAGCACTCGGGAGGCTGAGGCAGGAGGATCACGGAGGTTCAAAGCCAGCCTGAGCTATATAAGCAAGTTCAAGTCCAGCCTGAACTATGTGGTGAGACCCTGAGACCCTGTCTCAAAAAAGAAAACCAAGAAATAAAAACCCAGGTGGTGAGGGGAAGAGGAGGCGCAATGCCCTACAGAGGTGATGAAGCTCCCGGGCATTTCTGTTTTTCCCAGTTAGTGTCACAGTGGGACACATGGGCACAGCTTAGCACTGTGGGAGCGTTGTTAGGTCAGACTGAGCCTAGGAGAGGGAGCACTCGGGTGGCTCTATGTGGAACAGGGAAGCGCGTCCCTGGGGTGCCTGCTCCTTTGGGTGGGGATGAATAACATGCAAATGAGCACCTGGCTATGAGTCAGCAGCTGAGTAACTGAGTAACCACTGGCTGCCCCGCTGCTGCTGGAAGGATGCAGCCTTCAGTGCCCTTTCCTCCTGTGCCCTCCTGACCCTGCCAGGCCCGGTCACAACCCTGGGGCAGGTCAGCTGCTGCGAAGAGCAGACCTGCACCCTCACACCAGGCTCCTGTCCCTGCTGTCACACAGTGGTTCAGAAACTACTCCTTTCCATGATTAGGGGACCACACCCAGGGAAAGGGTTCTTGCTAACCCAGCGCTGTCAAGGACAGCCCTGAAAAGCAAAGGCCACCGTGGAGATTTACATTCAGGTAAGGGCTAAGTGTTCACTGCCCTGAAGAGCTCAGGGAGGCCCGGCCCAGGGGAGTGGCGATGGGAGAGAAGGCAGGAGCACTCTGGAGAGGAAGCAGCTGGGTTTGCATCGCTGCTGTGACAGGGACAGATCGAGGAGGATGCCAGCCTTAGACATTTTCTGTAGCAAAAGAAGTCCTTTACTGCTAGTTCAGACCAACACATGATTTTGCTCTGTTACTCCATTGCTTATTTTAAAGCAGATTGGGGGTGGGGGATACAGAAGAAAGGAAGGGAAAAAGAATCCAACCCCCAAAGCCTCAGCCAGAGTAACCACCAAAACAGCCGACAGCACTTGCACAGTGACTGTTTGAATCGAATTAAAGGCCTGGCAGGGTATTCCTTCTGGCTGGCTTGGCAAGGAGAGAGACTTCAGAGGTGGCCACCACAGATGGTAGTAGATGTCATGGAGCTCGGAACAGAAGCTGCCAGCAACACCAGTATCTCAGAGCTAAGCAAAAGAGCCAGAAATACACAGCCAAGTCAACTGCCAGTTACAAACCCTAAGCATCCCCGGAAGCCAGAGACTGTAAGCGTTGCTTTAATTAATAGCTTTCTGCTCTCTTCATCCACAAATCTGTCAGCCCATGGCTGTTCGGAGTTCCAGTGTGTCAGCTTGGGGCATCTCTGCTCTCACCTAGCATGGCCACCTGGGCAAAGGTTTGTAACCACAGTATTGACTGTCTGGCCCCAGACCTGGAATGAGCCCCCGGGACAGTGATCCATCTTGCAGTGCAGGCTGCTCAGTTCCTTCCAGTACAGTGCTGGGCAGCAGGTACTGGGATGGGCTTGAGGCACACAGTGTGGGGCTGAATAAACAGATCTGCTGTTAGCCAATCATCAGGCTGCTGGCTAACCAGTGGGACCCACCTATTAGTGGGGTAGCAGTGCTTGACTATGGGGTGTTGGGAGGGCCGCGTCCAGTATTTCACATAATGCCCTGCACCGTGCATTGAAGCCAGTGAGAGTGTAGACTGTGGGGTGAAGACCTACTGTCACTGTCCCCCCCGCAGCCCCTGCATTTCACCATCTCACAGCTGTAACTATTAGAAAGCCAGTCTGTGTGGAGCTGCAAATAATCTGCCACGTCAGGATTGCAAACTCAGAAAAGCTATTATAAATGCTTTGTATTATTGCTTTTATTATAGAATTACTCATGTCATTTTAGGAAATTGTGACTATGGGTTATCTCAGGCAGTATTTACTTTTCTATCAGGAGACTATGTCAGACAGTATTGATTTTTGCTGGCACTGTCTTTCATTATCAGTTAGAAACCAACGAATGAAACACTTTCCCATTTCTGCAGGGAAAGATTTGGTGAGGAGTCTTCCCCAAAGCAGCATCTGGAAATACACTGGGCTATACACTGGTGAACATTCAACTCAATCACTCTTTTCTGTATTTATGTCTTCAGACACCAAATGACAAGTGTCAAAATACCAGTTGGTTCCCTTATGACTCCAGACATTGAAATGCGCTGCTTTCCAGGGCAGGGAACAGGCTGATGTAGTTAGGAATTCCAACATCCGAGTTTCATGGTCTTGTTTGCACAGAGTGGGCAACCAATGGAGAAGCCTGCACAGGACACGCAGGTGCTGGGAGCAGAGGGCTAAAAAGTTGGGCTGAGGAAAGACCAACATGCGGAGTCCTGAATCTTCCACTGGATGTGACCTCCAGAAAAGCTCATGGGTCTGGGAGCTGATCACCTACAGAGAGGGAAACCGTGCCGCGCACACAGACTGTTTGGTGGAGTTCACACTCTATGAAAACAGTGCTTTGTAATACTCAAAATGAGTTTAAAACCTGTTGATGGGGAGGATGCATGGATACAGGCAGAGAGGGTTCTTCAGGCAGTGAAACTGTGCGGACTGATGCCACAAGTTCTGCATTTATCTGAGGTCAGCGATGCACAGCACCGAGGGTGAGCCCCCTGTAAACTGTGGACCCCCAGTGACTATGGTCTCCGTGAGGCCTGCTGATGTGCCACACCTCAGGAAATGCTGCCGATGAGGGTGGGTACCCATGTGTGCGGGCCAGGGGATTCTCAACTCTCTACTCGATTTTGCTATAAACCTGAAACTGCTATAAAAAATAGCCTATGCAAATTGATTTTACACACACGGTCACACACACGTGCACACACGCAATGCAGCAGGGTCCTGACAAATGTGAAAATTTAAGAAATTTAACTCTTTATTGAACATCAAAGCTAATATCAAGTGTTTATTTAAAAAAATAACGGCACCTGCTTTGAATTCATTGATGACGCCACCACAGGTAAAGTTCTACGGAGGAATTACAATTTTAGGCTGACATCAAACTACGTAGTATCTCACAAAATAGAAACTCGGCAACAGATGTAATTATCAACAGTCCAGATCCGGCTCTGAGAGTGGCTATCACCTAAATGTGTCTGCAACACACCACACATTTTGTTGGAACGTTTCTTTTAGGACAAACACAGCAGACATGCTTTAAATAAATTAAAACTGCAAAACAGAAATCACTCCTAAAACAATCAAGGTACATGGCTTCCTTCTTCCTCGCAGTCAGAAGACGGTAGGTTAGTTCCACTTTTTATCTTCTAGGTTACCAAGCTCCTATTAGCCACACTTCCATTCTGCATTCATTAGCTTTGAATCTGCTTTTGAGGTAAACAGGCCAATCTCATCCTTCGCAATGCTTTATCTTTCCAGACTGTCTCTCCTTAGTCATGGGTAACCTTCTTGAAACTGCTCCCTTCTGGATAAACTTTGAATTCTAATGCCTCAAAAATAAAGGAACATGCAAAACAGGTCCATATTAATCGGTACATTTCAGCATTTTCCCCCGATCTGGATTTGACACAAAAGCGCTCCCATTCAGTGCAAAATAATTTGCTGTTTAAAACCCAACCAAAAAGGACAAAAGTAATTAGTTGCCTGAGGGAAACTGTTCCCTCCCCATTACTGAACCTATAATTAAGCCTGATATGCTAGAGAAGTGACAGGGCAATAAATACACAGAGGAGGGCAACATTTCAAGGCAAACAAGAGTGACAGGAGGGTGAGAAGCCCGTGGACAAAGCACAGCACAGCACTGGCTGAAAACAAAAGGCAAAAAGGTCTGGGAGGTTTCAGCTGACAGCGGGTCACAGGGATTTGGACCTCAGAACACCGAGAGTGTGCAGCTAAAAGCTGGGGAGGGGTCTGCGTCCCCACCCCAACCCAGTGTGGAGTGCAAGTGGGTGTGATGTTTTGGGGGTCTGTTCTGGATCTAATCATACTCAAAATATGAGCTGAACAAAACCCATCTGGAGTGTTCTGTGTTTTTAACCCTCCACACGTTATCCTTACCCTGGCAGTCATGATGATAACGTCACCAGAAAATCTGGCGCTAGGATCTTAAATCATGCAGTGTTCTCCGGCTGACCAGCTGTGTAGCCATCCAACTGGCTTTCGTTTTTAGCCATGTACGATTTTTTTTTTTAAACCAATGAAGAGGGGGCGGAATGTAAGTTGACTTCAATGTAAGTTAAATATCCAATGCCGGGATCTGTCACAGCTGTATCACTAGTTTTAATTGTATGTGTATAAAATTCCATTTCCTCTTCGGCACTGAAGAGAACAAGCAGAAGAGGCACAGTCCCTAAGAAGACAACACTAAACTGCACAGTAAAAGTCCCCTTGAAGTAGATAATGTTCTTAAAAAGTTAAAAGTGTCATGAACTTTCCACAAGACTCTAAATAAATATGTCACGTGGGTTACCATATCCAAGGGAAAATAAGGTTCTCTGCACGTAACGGGCCAACAGCTAAGAGGAGTTGGCGATCAGGCCGAGGGTTTCAGTTTAGGGTTAGAGGCTCTGGGGATTGGGAAGGAAGCTGCTTTCTAGCAGGTTCTGCAAAGGGTGCCAAGTGGAGTGGGCGGAGGGTGCTGCTTCCCCCTGTCTGCCTGCTACGCTCACGGGGAGAAGACAGACTGACGGATCGCAGGTCTGAGAAGTGACACCCACAGCAGGGTTGGAAATCCCACCCACCTTCTCCAGGCCTCCGGCAGCAGCAACACCCACCCCAGGCCCGGGCGTGTCTGCCACCAGACCCCAGCTTGGTTTGGGCATCTACGGGATGGCGCTGAATGCCCACAGATAAGCCATGCTGGCCTTTACAGCAGGAAGCCAAAGCACCACACTGTCATTTCTGCCTCCCTCCTTCCCTCCGATCTGGAACCCTAACCTGCCCCTGAGTTTGCTGGGTCACAGTGTATCCAGTCAACTTTGGAGGCCGCTGGAGTCTCCAGGGGCAAGGGATGTGGCCATGTGATGGGGGAGGTGGCAGCAGCCCCCTTGTTCTTGGTTCCAAAATATTTTCTAACCACAGATTTCATGAAATGATGTTTATTATTTTAAAAAAGCTGCAGTCCGGAATTAGTTAGGGGTGATGTTTGAACAGTTTTGTGGACTGACTACCGAACTACATTTTTAAAAAAATGTTCACGTTTAGGAATCTCACTCACGCACGCTGGGCTTGCACTAAGTGCCCCAGTTCCACTCTCTCACAGCATGGCACATCCTGTCACATTTCGTTTCCCTAGGAGATTTCCCTAAGAAAGCTTTTGCAAAATATTGCACTTAATTTCAATCCAGGATCCGCAACGTCTCCTGGAAGAAAATGGACGTGAGCACACGTCATCCTGACACCTTTGGCAAATGGTGGACGTGGCAGGAGGAGGGACCCCATCAGCAGCTGCCGCGATGTCCTCCCTTCTGTCATGTGCGCGGAGAACCCGATTCGAAGGAAAGTGACACCGGGCTGGGGGGGGGAGGGCGATCCTCGCCATGGGCCACAGACACCAAGGCTCAGTGCTTCCCCCAGTGGCAGTGTGCTCAGCCAGTGCCTCGAGATGGGTCCTGACACCATCCAAAGAGACAGATGGCGGTCTCGGCACCAGCTCCGGACCTAACTCATTCTAGGCTCGGTTGCCTTGAGCATCTCTAACAGGAGCCTTTCCACCTCCCCACGGTAACCTCGCCCACCCGAGCAGCCAGACGCCCCGTCTTCCTCCAGCTCAGCTTATCACACACTACCACCCTGCTGCCCTTGTCACCAAGAGCAGCGCTGCTTTCTATTTCGCAGGCCTCGCGGTGAGTGACAGAAAGTTCATGGCATCTGCAAAGGGCCAAAACACAAACCTGGGAGCAGTGAGCACTCACGGGACCCGAATTAACAAAGCCATCGCAGGGGAGGTACACCTGGGAGGCGGGCATTTGTCCACCAGAAGGATGTGCTTCGCCCGGCATAAGGGGGGCGCTGCCCCTAAGTGTTGCGCCTCACACCTCAAGGGCAACCAAACCCATAATGCAGACTTGTTAGGTACCAGGTACGCTTTCCCCGTAATCCAGTCCCACACAACTGACCACAGTGAAGGCCGGGTACATGCCGAGACCTACGTCACCTGCGAACAGCGGGGTAGACGACGCAGAGACTCACACACCTCCACAGGCCCGTGGTCCTGCGCTCCTGACCCACATCACATCCTTGATATCTAAAGGACTCAGGGAAAACCCAAACCCTGGCCACTGTGAAGCTCAAGAGCTACAGGGGTTAAGAGGACAGGGCTGGGCGGGGGGTCCCTTTTCTTCTGGGTCTCCAGCTACGCCAAGTGCTTGACAGACAAGGGTCTACCGTGCTGGGCTCATGGGAGGGGCCGGGACTGATTAAGGCATGAGCAGTGTGGGGACAGCTCTGAAATGCTTCACATTAGCCAAGTACGGGGACTGAGCTGGCAGCTGCTGCTGAGTCCCGGGAGCCGCAGCTATGTACACCCGGCAGCTCCAGTCCTCGCACGCTCCTGCTCCTGCCTGCGTGGCGCGTGCGCTGTAGGATGCACACAGTTTTCTTTTAAGACCAAAAGCCGAGGAACGTGAAGGCCAGGTGCCGCGGCTTCATCTCGGTATTATGATCCTCTCGATGGCACACAGAATATGGTCCCAGTTCTTACAGAACACGGCCAGGAGAGTCACAGCGAAGAAGGTGCCGAGGATGTGGAAGCGGCTCTTCATCATGGGCGAGATGAACTTGGCGATGGTGGACACGCACACCAGGATGACGGCCATGAAGGCCAGGACCACGTTGATGCACCTGCCCAGCAGCACCTTGGCGTTCACGGTGTCTGTCTGCAGCGTCTGCTGCTCCTGCTGGTGGAGCTCCAGCTTGGAGATGCGCGTCTGGCAGGACTCCAGGGCTTCCTGCGGGTGAGAGGACAGTGGGGTCAGATGCCACCGAGGCGCACGCTGCCTCAGATGTGCAGAAGGTCATCCCCCCGCCCACCTTGGACCACCCAGCGTCTGCCTGGGTAGCTTCTAGTCTCCAAGTGAACGTGCGGGACCAACGCAGAAAATGAGAATCCCAAGGCCCATATTTTTCCTGGTTTTCACAGACGGAATAGGCACACACGACCGTCAAATACCATCAGGGAGGAATTACGCTTATGTTTTCTGGCTCTGCCTATATCTGTAATAAAGGGACATGAAACGGAGGCCCCTGATAAGGGCTGGGCTTGCCTTTTGTAATGGCAGAGGGCTCCACTTTTAGCTTGGTGTCACCGTCTCCCGCCCAGATCCGGCTCTCCACCTTGGAGCCCAGCTGAGCCTGCACCAGGGCCAGAGCAGGGAGAAGGGAGAGAGGAGGAGTGCGGGCATGGAGGTGGCTCTGTGCTTGGTGCTCTTTGAATTCTGAGGTCCTCAGGACACCTCTAAGTCCTCTGCATACTCAGCGTCTGGTCGCACCTGTGGTCAGCCTCACGCTCCTGTAGCTTCCTGGCCTCGGGAAATAGCGCTGGGGCCCACACCAGGGGCATCCCCTTGACAGCCCTCCAGCCAGGCTGTAGCCCAGCTCCACCATGCAAACCCAGGTCTCTCTCCATCCACCCACTTCCTCCTCCCTGGCTCTACCTCCATCTAAGTCACCCGATCCCTCAACAGTGACCTTGCACAAATGTCCCTTTTGTGCCTCAACCCTGTGAATCACCATCTGCACAGCAACCCTACTGATCTTATAAAGGTGCATATCCATGATACTCCTTTTATAAAACCTCTCAATCTTTAACCTGGCCTCAACCACAGGGTCCCCCCTCTTGCTTCCCTTAAAATAATTTCTTATTCTTTCAAGTGCTCTGATCAAAATTTTTTCCATGCTTCAGAAAGAAGCACAAACTCACCCCAGGACTTTCGCACATACAGTGTACTCTACCTGAACCCTGTGTCTCTGTAATTCCCACCTCTCTTTTCCTGCTGATCTCCCACTCATGTCTCCAGTCTCATCTGACTGCTTCCCCAGGGAAGTCTCCCTTCAGCCTTTGCTGCTGGTCAGGAGACAGATAAGCTGCATGGGGACAGGGACCAGGCCTATCTCGCAGTCACTGTCCCCTAAGGCACAGAGCCAGTGCTGTGCTGCACAGTGGCGAAACAGGAAGGAGACTGCCTGGCAGCAACAGGATGCCAGAGAGCGAGAGAAGGCCCCGCAGGTCACTAGCCCACTGTCTAAGCTGCCTGTCAGTGTGGTCACACAATTCAAATACAGTCGTCCTCTCACGTCCTGGGCAAGCATAATGGTTCTGACACTGATTTGCTTTTCTACTGCTGATCACACTCTAAGGGCCAGGAACAGGGCTGTTACCATGGTAACCTGCAGCACGCTAGGCTACCACCGAGGGGATCAGGCTTCTCCCATGACCACACTCTACAGTGCTGGCTTCCTGCAGCCCCGGGCCTGCGCCCAGCAATGACATGGGCCCGAAACCCCCCCTCCCCCCGCCACTGCGGCTGCGGCACAGGCAAGGTGTCGGGACACGAGCAAAGAGGCCCATTCCAGACACACTCATTCACCTCTGAGAGGGCAGCTGAATCACACAGACAAAGGCGCTCATCCAAATGCCTGGGAAATGCTGGTGAGCAGCAAGGAACAGGAAAGAAAGAGGAACGTGAGTAAGCACGATGGCAGAGCCCCAGGAATGCAGCTAACCGAAATACGGTAAAAAGAACACCTGGTGTTCATTTGGGGCTGTTATTACTAGGCATCCGGTAAAGGCTTCAGTGTTTAAATGTGTTATCCCATTTGCTCCTCTCAACCTGTTGAAGCAGAGCTCTTGATTCTTTCATTGTATGGATAGGGAAACTGAGGCACAGGGCACAGGCTCATCTAGGGTCACCCAGAGAGAGCAGGAGGGCCAGGATTCAAACCCCCACAAAAGGAAAGGCCTCTTCGATTATTCACAGAAGTTCTCTTTACAGTTCTGACTGAGGGATGAAACTGCAAATCTCGGGACATGACCTCTTCCGTGAGTCTAATCCATGGGTGAAGCTCTCCCTTTCCTTATCTGATCTCTTTACCCCACCCCCAACTGTTCCTTAAGAAAGAGAAATAACCCAAAGGGTCCCTAAACAGAAAGCCTTGCAGGCCTCTGCCAGCGGCCTTCTGGACCTGGACCTGATCTAGAGCGGGATGGTGAACACTGCCCTGCTGCCTACAGGCAACTTTAACACCTAAGTGGGGGCAAGTTTCTCACACTAGAGCCAGGGAGCCCAGGCCAGCCACTCCCCAAGTGCCTGGTGTCTCCCACTCTTCTGACAGCAACGCTCTCATCAGCTCTGATGCTTTGGTTCCAAAACCGTCCCAGCAGACTCAGTGATTAGCACAAGCTCAGCCTCCACGCAGGGCAATATAAACTATGTGCAGCTGAGACTGCAGCTCACACGCTTTGGGAGAACTGCAACCTTGTTCCAGTTTTATTCCGCTCACAGCAGGGCTCAGATTTGCAGTCAGAGACAGAGGCAAAATAGCCACTGTGTACAAAGAAAATCTGTCTGGGACAGCCCATCATCTGAGGTGCAACCTCTGGAAATCAGTGTGGAGAGTCCTCAAAAAACTAGGATTGGCGGTCCCATTCAACCCAGCTATTCCCCTTCTGGGCACCTTCTCAAAAGAATTAAAAACATCATACCACAGTGATATATGTGCACCCATGTTTACAGCAGCACAGTTTATAACAGCCGGATCTTGGAAACAACCTAAATGCTCATTGGCTGAGGAATGGATAAAAAAGATATGGTATTTCTATATAATGGACCACTATTCAGCCATAAAGAATGATAAACTGGACACTTCCATAGGTAAATGGATGCAGCTTGAGAACATATTTATTAGTGAAATAAATATGGCACACGTGTCAACATTGTATTGTTTCGTTAATGCGACAAGCTGAAAGAAGAAACATTATACGTGTATGTATATGCATATAAAAATAGTTAAAGAGTTTAAAAAATAAGCAGCATAATGGCCTCCTTGGTCATCCGCGTGGCTGTTCAGAAGGAGACTGAATGCCCCCCTTCACTGAACAGAACAAGGTTCTGTCTTCCCTCCTGCACCTTGTCCCAGTCTTTTTGCCCCAGAGAGAACGACCTCAGCCAGAGCAACCACTCAGGCCACACCTGCTTCACGTTAGCCGACCCACTGTGCGCCATTCTGAGCTGACTTTTGGATGTCTTAAGAAATATTTCATGTGCAGGAAGATTTGGGTTTTTTGCTTATGCATATCCAGTTGCTCCAGTGTATTTATTTAAGGTACAATCCTTTCTCCACTTAACTGCTTTTGCATTTTTGTCAGAAACCAACTGTCCGTTATGTGGGTATCTATCCTGGGACTTCATATTGGTACCTTGGTGGTTTTTCTATCTTGATATCAATGTCCTTTTGTCATGATTGGTGTAACTTTGTGATAAGTCATGGAATTGGGGAGGGTTGGAGCTCTAATTTTGTTTCTTTATCAAGGTTGTTTAGACTATTCTGAGTCTTTTGCATTTCTACAGAAATGTAAAAATCAAAATGTTAATTTTTATGAAAAGGGTCATTAGTATTTTGAGAAGGGATTGTGTTTTCTGATCTTTATCACTGTCTTCTATTTGTTTTTGGTTTTATTGTTTTTTATTTCTAACTTCTTAAGGGAAGATATGAGGATATTTCATAATGTTCTTCTTCTTTTCTAATAAATGTACTTGGTGTTAAAATAAAGTAAAATACTGGTGGTGCTGGGCCTGGGGTTGGTAATAAATATCTGATTGAGGCAAAAAGTGTACAGAACACAGCTTCTTAGTATAGTCTGCAACGTAAGCAAGTGGAGACGTGGGGAGGAGAAATGTTGTGCAGAGGAAACACTTTGTCCCCTGTGCCGGAGCCCTGAGATCAGCAGCCCTTCCATTGCGAAGGTCTGTGGAGACCCAGTGAGCTGTCCGAGCTGGATGGCGCAGTACCTGGATGTCCCGAGACCGCTCGTAGGCCTGGTAGGCCGCCTTTTCCTCAGCGCTGGCTAGCTCCTGCTTCAGGTCAGCTGTCTCGTGCTGGTGCAGGTCCGTGAGGTCATGCAGCTGGTCTTCCAGGCGCTCGTACCTGGACAGAGTGAGGAGCGTGATCTGAGCGTGACATGTCACCATGCCTCACCTGGCTCTCGTACCCATGCTAGATGTGCATCTGAGTTGGCTGCAGCAGCCACAGGACAGTGTGCAGGTCGCAGCCAGTTAGGAGATGGCTACAGGAGCCCTGCTCCAGGCCTGGACCCCCTGCTTTGCCCTCTTCTTCCCTTGGTTCCTGGGGCGAAGGGCTCTTAAGGAAGGAACAGTGCTGCTGGCATCAGCTTCACTCTGTGGCCAGCTGTGCCCCGTACCATCCATTCTCTTTAGCCCAGCAACTTAGGTGCCAACAAAAACTGAACTTACAAATGACAGGTGGGTCACCGGTGGCATTTCCAAAATCCACATCTAAAGTATGAGAAGTACAAAGATTCCCATTCCTTTGCCCTGCCTACACCCAGAGAAAGCCTCTGTCTATTGTTTGAGACCCTATAATGTTTACTTTGAACAGGGTGGGCTGTGTGGGGAAGGCGTCTTAGCCTGGAGTGACTTTGATCACTCCCAGGTGTAGATGGTTTTTGTAGATCACGTGTTAGAATAATTCTTATAAAAACCACAATGGTGCTAAACTTATATAAAAGGGCATTTGTAACTTGGGATAAAATACACATCCAGAAAGGATTGTATCTAACATTACTTGTATGAAATTAAGGTAATCGTTTTTGGGAAAAGTCATGACTCAAAAACACAATTCTTGTGTAACAAATTAGTCAAAATTAACGACGCACATGGAAAGCTTTAAAAAGCTTCCAGGATTGGGGATGTGGCTCAGTAGTACAGCAGTTGCCTATTATGTGTGATACCCTGGGTTCTGTGTCTAGTATCAAAGAACAAATAAATAAAGATTAAAAATAGTTTCATAAAACACTTATGTTTGAAATTAGTTAACATAATCCACAAGATCTGAATTTATACTTTGAATCTTCAGATTACCTCTGAAAATTCTTTATTTAAGGTAAAAAGTGTAAGGATAAAATACAATACATAAACTGGGTGCACTGGTAAATGCCTATAATCCCAGCATTCTGGACAGAAAATTCAAGCCCAACATGGGCAATTTAGGGATTTTGCAAGACCCTGTATCAGAAAAGAGAGAAAGACAGACAGACAGAAAAGAAAGTCCATACAGACACACATACAAAGACTTCAAGATTGACATACCAAATGAAGCCTGCATGGTTACAGAATGAATTAGATCCTTACCTGATCACTGTGATGGAGGCAAATGAAACACAGATCTGAGTCAGTGTAAGGAGACTGAAACAGAAATCAAGCGAACCAGTAACTTAACATGCGTGTGAGTCACAGTCTGCATAGTGATGTGTTAGGAGACCCCTGTGTACAATGGCTCTGACTGTCAGCTCTATGGCCACTCTTGTGACATGTTATGCGGGTTGGGAAGAACCCTGGACCCCTGAGTCCCCTGCGATCTGCAGCCGCGCTGATCTCTTCCCGACAGACTCTCTCAGTGCAGCTGCTGTCCCGCATCGCTGAGAGCACGCTCGGACTCACCTGTACCGCTCCTCCTGCAGCGTCTGAGAAATGAAACCATATTCTCTCTTGAACTGCACCTTCAGCGCCTCGATGTCCTCTGCCAGCTGGACCTGGGTGTCCTTGATCTCCCGCAGCTCCTCCAGAATCACGGCCAGCTTCCCCTGGCTGTCCAGCGGGCCGGTCCCACCTGCCCCGAAAGACTGGTTCCCGTTGCTGTCGCCGGAGCCCGACGTGCCACTGGAACACTCGTCATCGCTGGCGTACTTGGGTTTGTTCACGATGGTGGCACTGCCCCCGTAGGGCCTGGCACTCGCCTCTGGTCTGAACTCCTCTAAGGAGTTTTTCAAGTGAGCGATGTTGTCGGCGCTGCCAAACTTATTCCGGATCAAGTTGGCAAACTCTCTGGACTTGTTGAAGACAAACACGGGCGGCGTGAGGGAGACCCCAGGCATGCCCGACTTGCTGCTCTCCGTGCCCTGAGGGCCAGGTCTCGACTTGGCCTGGGCATCTTTCAGGGAGTGCTGGACGTCCTTCAGGTTGTCTTTGGAGACGTCCTTGGTGCTGCGGAGGGCTCCGTTCTGCTCGATCTCCCGGAGCTTCCGGTGATACTGCTCGAGCTTCTTCTGCAGGTGCAGGATATTGTGTGCCGACTTCTGGTTCTTCTTCTCGAACACCTGCTTGATGCGTCCGGCCTGCTGCTTGTCCGCGTTGTTCACGAGTTTCAGGTACTCCGCCACATTCCCATCTCGGGAGGTCTGCTCGATCTTTATCTGCTCTGTCACCTTTAGAATCTTTTGTTTTAGGCTGTCCGCGGTGAGTTTGACCTTGTGGAAGTCCAGGATGCCATCCGGCACATCGAAGTTGAGGTTGGTGTCCGACCCTCCTCGGCGGATGCTCAAGGGCAGGCTTAAGGTATTCATGTCATGACGTTCTACCTGAAAGGGAGCGGAAAGAAGCACTTTAACGGCGGACAACCACCGTGATCGCGTCTGTGTGGCTGTGACACTCGTTGTAAGTTCCAGATTTTCAGTCCCCGAGTCCCACAGGAAAACCCCTCCCTGCTCTCCTCTCAGGCTCATGACAGGACAGTGTGCTCCCTCCTGCAACTCTCTTACTATACACCAACTGGGCGCAACACGCAGTCTCCAGGGTGTCTGATCGGCTGTCTGATCACACGGTCACTATCGGCTTCCAGGATAGAAAATGCAGATCACCGAGGTCACCGGTCAGCCTGGCTTTCCAAAGTGAGCTTTCCCACAGGAGGATGGAAGAAGAAAGAAGGAAAAAAAGAAAGGAAGTGAAGTTCCAGCAGGCACATTCATCAACTCCAAAACGTTATTTTCTTAATGAAATTATTAGACAGATATGACACAGCAATATGGTGCATGGTAAATTTTAATAACTGAGTAGCACAACCACGCTCTCTAGACATGGAGACAACTCCAAACCACAACATGGCAACTTAAAAAAGAAAATGTAATGGTAGCAGGAAGTCCACCCGACAGAGCTTTCTCAGCCACAGGCCACAGCAGTGTGGAACAGGGCAGGGCAGCGAGGGCGGGCCTGCGGGGAGACCACAGGGGTGCGTGGGCCGGGACTGCAGCCACGGCAGGTGAAGAAGGCACCGTGTCTATAAACACGCAGCCATCGAGGCTAGAGCTGGGGTCTGAATCCATGTCGCCCTGACCCAGCCCTCCGCCGCCACCCCAGGACTCTCTGTCACTGTCTTTCGGGGTCTTTGCAGCACCTGAACACAATTACCAAATAACGATTTGCAGGACCTAAACTGAAGCACTGCAGACATCAGTCAAGCTCACAGCCCTTTGATTCGAAGGCCTCGACAGAGGGGCTCCACGGAAACTGAACAGGAGGCAACATAACACCCAGCACACCTTTTCACTTTTAAAGAGACTCACAGATTGATAGCTAAAAGTTAAACTCAAGGGACCTCCCAGGGTGTGAGTGACCCATTTCCAGCAATGAGCAGACCTGGCACACGGTAAATCCTGCCCCACAGAAATCTCTACCCCACAGAAGGGAGTCCACACAACAAGGCAGGACACCACCCCAGGTCGCGGGGTCAGCCTCCTCCACGACTTAGAAAAATGACTTCTCAGCCCCTCTTTCCCACACACACTCGCCAGGGATGAGACGCGGGCTGCTTTATCTGGCAGAAGAGCATCACCCAGGAAGCTGGGAGAAAATAAATCCCCATCACTGGAAGGCTGTGGAACAGGACGTGTGGAAACAGGACTGAAGAACTGGGACTTTGCTTGGTCCTGAGGGGTGCTGGTGGGGGAGTAAGGACAGCTCGGAGGAGCTGTGGACCTGTGGCTCATTTGTGGACCCAGCAAAGACTTCGGGAAACACAGAAAATACCATTTGGTGCATGTAGGATACTTAATGGTAACTGTGCTGTCAGTGAGGCTGGAAATTTGATTTTAACAGGGATATGAGATCCAACCACAGTGTGCAGGAACTGCCTTTACCTCCCCCATGAAGTAGCGGGCAGAGCTCAGCTTTCAGCCTCATTTGTATCTGAAGGATGCTGTTCTTCCTAAGTGGACCGAACAATCCAACATCCCACAGCACGCATCTCCTTGCAGGAATTAGACTTGTGATGCTGGCCACTGGCCTACTTATCAATGAATCCTACACATTCTTTGAAACCCATTTCAAAAGTCCCTTCTGGAAGCAGCTCTTCCTCCCCTCAGAGAATCCCGCTTCTCTTTCCCTCCCAGGAAGCCCCTCTCTGCTCTGTGCTTTTCCTGGGACACCAACTGCCACCTCCTTTTCTAGTCATCTGAGTATCTGAACCCCCAGTGGAGTGAAACAGGGGACAGAGGATGTCACAGCTGTGCCCTCCAGTGGTGCCAGCACCTCCCTTGCTCACAGGAGGCTGTCTACAAACATCTGACCAACTCTGTGACACCCTTCTTTATTCCAAGGAGCCCACCCTGAAGTCATTTAAGATACATGATAATAGAATCAAAAAATGATCTCGGGAGTTCTGGCTGAAATATCCCAAGTGGAGAATTCTCCCTAGTATCTAGATAATAAATTCTGCATCATTTTTTTTTCTTTTTTTTTTTTGGCGACGGGGTGTGTGTGTGTGTGTGTAGACAGGGTTGAGATAATCTCACTATGCAGTTCAGGCTGGCCTTGAACTCACAATGATCCTCCTGCCTCATCCTCCCAAGTGCTGGGATTACAGGCGTGCTTTGCCATACAAAGATGCATAATGTCAAATGGATTCAACTAAACTGTTTTTCTGAGCATTAACATGTAACAAGTTATACTGATACAAATAAGGTCCTCTAGACTTGAAGTATAATTTACACCCAGAAAAAAGCACAGGTACAGAAGTATAAAACAGAAGGAACTCTTACAAACAATACCTCCCGCTAAAGAAACCGGAGCGCCTCTGGGTCCTCTCAAACACTACCACATCACCCCGCTCTCCGCCAGGCCACCCAGACTCTGGCTTCCAGCCCTGCACCTTACTTCTGCCTGCCGTACACACGCTCCAGTCACTGTCTGCGAGCTCCACGGGAGCGTCTTCTTGCTCAGCAGCCATAGGAAAGATTAAGTTGTAAAACAACCAGCTGACGTTCTCTGTTGAGAATTTCCTACCACACTAGAAGAGGGCAAGGCGTTCCATGCTTCCCCCACCACACTCCGCAGTAAGCGCCATCTGCCCTGCCTTCCTTAATTCCCCACCGTCATGCCATGCATCTGAGGGGGCAGTGTTCACACACAGGGGCGCCTGTGCCGTCTCACTTCACAGCCTTGACCCCGCGTGGCCCGGCCCCAAGGCCAGACTGAGAAGCACCAGCAGTTAGAGCCCCGAATCAATCAGGGAGAGGTGTCCCATGAGGACCCAAGGTCGGAACTATTCAGGGCTGCACCTTTCAACCTTTGACAGGGTGTGCGCTGCGTGGATAATTGAGAGCAAAATGTGAGTACCAGTCTGTGCCAGGAGGAGAGCTGTGAGGCTTTCACGCCTTGTCCGACCTGGACTTGGCACTCACCAGACTCCTGGGCTGGACAGGAGAGGTCTAGGGTTGAGACATGGGGTAGGGATGGAGGCTCCTGATGGCTGGTGTCGTCATGGTGGCCTGTGGACCAGGAGGCACAGGAGACAGGCACACTGTGGCACTGACATTTCCAAGCCACATAGCCTGAGGGAGACTGAGTCACATCTGTGGGCTTCTATGTGCTAAACTGCAGAAAGCGGTGACGACCAGAGAATTCAGAATTAATACTGTGCAACGCTAGGAAATGGGAACCCGAGATCTTTCAGCCTGAGCTGGTATGCAACACAGCCAAGACATGGGTTCTCTGGAGACAGACTGCTTTGGTTTCCACCTTGGTACGGCCCTTTCCAGCTGCTTCTCTCTGTGCCCTGGCTTCCTCTTCCGTAAATGGACGTAATGATTCTTCCAGAGTCCTGCACGGAGAGTGCTGAAAGGCCTCCTGGCACACAGAATGGCTTCCACAAATGTTTGCTATTGTTAGATGAATTTCATTTAAAAACATACCTGTTTGTACAAGAGGAAAACAACCTGCAGAGTGTTAACAATGGTTATTTTTGCACCCTGAGGTTATAAGGTCATTCTTTTTTTTTTTTTATCATGTTTTTGTATTTACCAATTTAAAAAAAATAAAGAAAATGTATTACTGTTTTGGCAGGAAAGATTTACTTTTTATGTTTTTCAATGACACTTTCCTGTCCCAGAATCACCCTGGCTGACAGACAGAGGGCCAGCACCCTGCAAACAGCTTTCCTGATGCGGTTTCCTTCCACAAGCAGAGGAGTTTCCACCACCTCAGTTCTCAGACCAAGGCCGAGGAAAAGCCCCCGTCCTGGACAGACGTCAAAACTGACCCTGGGCGTCTCTGCAGCGAAACACACAGGCGTGAGCAGCACTGCTCGGGACACATGCAGACTCCCACAGGACTGTCTGTCCCAGCACACTGCGGTGGCGTCACCTTCCAGCCCCCAGGGAAATAAACGGAAAGGCCAGAGACCAAAGCAGAGACACGGCCCTGAAGCCCCAGACCACAGGCTTTCTCCTGGGAGCCCTGCTATCAAGGTTGGTGAGGCTGCGCTCGGGTGGTGGACCCTTTAAGAGGTGGGGCCTAGGAGGAGGTGATTAGGTTGTTGGGGTTCTGCTCCCAGGGTGGGATTAGTGCTGATCTCACAGGAGCAGGTCAGTTTCCTTAAGAGCCGGTTGTGTAACACACAGTCCCTCCCCGCCACACTCTCAGCCCCTCTGCACACAGCAAGCAGGTTCTGTTTTGGCTCCTTTGCCACGCTATTGGGTCCCTCCAGCCCCTAGGACTGCGAGCCAAATAAAACTGTATGAGTTACTGGGCCTCAGGTATTCATGACAGCAACAGAGGATGGACTGAGATGCCCAGATGGGCATGGGCTGAGGCTCTGGGGCTCCCAGATGACGGCTGCCTGCTTGGTCCTGAGGCCATGTGATGAACCTGGGCCTACAGGAAGGACTTCCACACAGAGAGGGACGCAGGTCTTTCCCAGGTTGCCAGCTCTGGGCAGCAGGCATTTCAGACCTGGGCAGGGGACTCACACACGGACCCCAGAAACTGAACCCGGTCAGGATCACTGGCACTTTTTACTATCCCTCTCCACTGTCCGCATCTTCCCCTGGCTCCTAACACTGGGAAGATGATTCTGCTCCAAGTCCAGGCGGAAGAACGTCACGGTGGTGACAGGTGCAGCATCTTACAGCAGAAGGCAGAGCCAAGGCAGAAATCCTGGGCATCCTCTCAGGGCTGGGCTCCCTCCTGATACCAAGCGGCTTAGCTGAGGCAGGCGCTCTGCTGAGGATCTGACCTGTACCTGTGTATCTGCCATGGTGAACCTCGTTACAACATCAAGGCTTGGGAAGGTCAGCTTCGCTTCCTG